CAAACCCACCAGCCACTCCTTGGAAGGAAGGTTGGGCAATCTACTTCTGTAGTGATACCACCTCGGAAACCCAAGGAGGGGTCGCTATGAGTCGGGTCCAACACCACGGCAGTGGTTGCCTTGCCTTGCCTACATCTGCTAAACAATAGATGTATGGTTCTCAATCATTCTCTAAAAAGCTCCTCATTCTCTAGAGTAATTCTCAAGCATTTTGGTCTTGGGGACCAAGTTTTACACACATAAAAACTGAAAACCTTAATGGACTTTTTGTTTATGTGTGTTACATCTATTAATATTTACCATAATGGAATCAAAATTGAAAAAATGTTTTAAATATTTATGTATTTAAAAACAACAATAAACTATTACGTGACAATATAATCAACATATATTTATGGAAAATATCTATTTTATAAATACCAACTAAACACTAGTTTTAGTGAGAAGAGAAGCATGGTTTTTATAGCTTTACAAACCTCTTTAATGTCTAACTTAGTAAAAGACAGCTGGATTCCCATAACTACTTATGTCTTCAATCTGTTAAAATAAGTTGTTTTGGTTGAAGTAGATGAAGAAAATCAGATCTCCCTACAGATATGTAACTGGAAAATGGAAGACCATTTCCACTGACTTTTTATGCAATTATGGATATTCTTTTTTGATTCTACAGTCAAATTCAACAAGTGGTAGTTTCTTAAAGGTTAGTTACATTGTGGAATATGAAACCATACCAATGAATTTTTCATTCTGTATTATTAAAATCAATTGGTCTGTCTGGTACTTTGGATGGAACTCTTTTTTACATATGTGTGATTTTTTTTTTTTTTAAGTATCATGCATTGTTCATCTGGAAATAACAGTCCGCTGAATTATGCAGCCCTTTCTCATTATGCTCACTTTGTTACTTAACATCAAAACTCGTATTTGTTAATATAACCACCAATTTTACCAGAAAAGTCTTTAAGTACTGGGAAGCTGTCAAGCTCAAGGTGGGAAACATATGTTTCCTAAAATTTTAACTTCTGCTCAAAAACTAAATTTAAGCATTGGCAACAAATATTGTCAGTTGTTTTCTGTTTGTCTGTTTTTGAAGTTGTTTCTTGAAGTGCCTACCAAACACTCAAATGTAAATAATGGTTTCTCAGTCACTCTTTCAAATAAAAATGGCATTGCATGAAAAAAGCAGCTAGTTCTCCAAACAACTGTACAAGTACCTCTCCTCAAGACAGCCATCCTAATTTGGTTGCAGTAGAAGTGCTTTACACACACTCCCTATTTTGTCAAAGAGAATATTAAAAAAACATGTCCCCAAAAGTTGATGTTTATTAAAACTAAAGTTTCAATGCTTCTTCTAGAACATTCTTAAGTGAAATTGATTTTTTTCTCTTTTCTATAAGTGCTTGGTTGGCAAAGATGGCAATGAGTACTAGTACAGTTTGGGGCCACTGCTGTAATTTGTGCTAAGGCAGCCAGGAATTTTACCCACTACCCACTATCGTTTTTAGTGGGAGCTCTGGTAGCATAGTGGCTAAGACACTTGACTGCTAACTAGAAGGCTGGCGGTTCAAACCCACCAGCCACTCCTCGGAAGGAAAGTTGGGCAATCCTACTTCCGTAGTGATACTGCCTTGGAAACCCAAGGAGGGGTCGCTATGAGTCGGGGCCGACTCGACGGCAAG